CCAGGTATACCTGGTACATAATATGGGCTCAATAAAATGTGTGAAGGAAGAAAAGGAAGAATAAAAGAGAGTAGCAGAAGAGGGAGGAAAGACAGAAGAGTCTAATGATTTCATTCCATGTAAGAAAATGCATATTCCTTTCCTCCCTTCTACTGCCATTTCTTCAAAGAAGATGTTATTAAATGATATTTATCTGTGTGTTTATTGTCTTTCTCCTTAGCTAAAATGAAAAGGTAAAAATGTGTTCATCTTGCTTGTAACTGTAAAAAAAAAATTGGTTTTGCCTGGGATCCAGGACACGTCAAATGTTTAATTACAAAGAAGTGCATGAGTGGATGGGGGGGTGGGTAGATGGGTGAATGGATGGATGAAGAGTAAATTCTCTAAACTCAAGGGTGAGAACACTTTTCCCCTATTCACACTGACCCCACCAGCTTCCTCTTAGAATCCTTCCTCTCTATAATGGGGAGGGCACCCATTCTCAGGGTCCCTTGCTTACCCAGTCACCAACAGCCACGTGAAAAGACATTGGATGCTGAACTTGTCCCTAATCCATAAGGAAAAGTCAGGGCCAGAAGTGTTTGCTTTTCGTCGACCTTCCCTTGGTGGGTTAGATACATGGTTCCTAGTCTACCTTCTTAACTGTGTTTCTCTATTTGTCCTTCAAGTCGATGTAGGTCTTTCTTTTCTATTTAATTCTTCTCCACTTTGTTCCCTGAAGTTCTCTTACACCTTCCTGAATCAACGATTCCTCAGCTACTTTTCTGCAGTCCTCTCTCTCTCTCTCTCTCTCTTATTTACTACTTTATTATATGCCCTCTATTTTCCATACACATTTGACTTGCCGCAAACAGTAATCTATTTCCTCTGGGAAAAGTTTTGTTGCCTCAGAGAGCACACTGCTAAAATAATGGAAGGTTCATACTTGATTATTTGTATTTAATTATAGTTCAGATACTCATGAAAAAATTCTTTACTGCTCTTTGCAATTAGGTGTAGTGATTAGGAAACCTTGTATATCACTCTCCAGTTATCCTTTAAAAGCCCTTCTCTATTTGATGGTGGTGTAATTGGCTCTTAATTTTATATTGCATAGGTAGATTAAAAAGAGGCAGCTTACCCTTGAGAGATCTGGATGAGTAGGTTAAAATGGTAAATTTTATGTTATGTCTATCTTACTGCAATAAAAAAAAATAGTTTCAGGAAGAAAAAAAAAGCAGATAAAGGAAGACCATCCTACCTGATACCCCAGATGACTCTGGGGGTCTTCTACTGTAAATAAACAGCTCAAAACCAAACTTGTGCTAATTGCTTTAGCTATGTTGCTGACTCTGCAAATTCATTAATTACTGCCCTACTTGTAGTCCTATGGTGAAGAATCACTATTATTATTATTATTTATTTTTTTACTTAAATAAGATCCCATACCTTCCTGAAAACTGTCATTTTGTAAAAATGTTGCTGTAGGGCGGGCCCCTACTAAGAAATATAAGACGTGCAATTCACACATCCATGTGAAATGCAAGTGTCTGTGAACTCTGACAGGCTATAATTACAGGCAGGCAGAGCTGACAGTTACTAGTAGGATTGTAGTGGGGTAAAACGCTTCCCGCCTGAGATATCTTCTTCCTGGCCTCCAGCTGATACCTAAAGTTCCCCTATTAGACAGTTATGTGTTTGAGTCAAAGGTTCTCAAGAGGGTGAGAGGAAGGAGAGACGGAGGCCATGAATATGAGTATCTTATGTAATTTGCAAAACATAGTTAATACATTGTTTTATCAAACAAATTAATGGAATTAAACCTCTTATTTCTGGAAAATAAAGTGGAGAAGCATGAAAGATGCTTGAGTTTCGTACTGCTTAATAATCATAGTTGGGCTGGGAGTGTAGTTCAGTGGTGGAGCATTCACCTAGTGCATGTGAAGCACTGGGTTCAATTCTAGCAGGACATATAAATAAATAAAATAAAGGCCCATCAACAACTAAAATAATAATAATAATAATAACAATCATAGCTTAGGGGAAATTTTGCTTCCTCCATGGTTTTTATAATAAAAGAAAATGCCTTGATGAGAATTAGTTTGTTTGCTTCCTTTCTTCACCGGAATCAGTCTGGAAGACCTTTCTGATGATTTTTAACAGTGGCAGAGTAAATCAGATTTTTTCATGCCTGGAGCCCTCCAAACTCATCTTGGATCCCACTGGATCTTTCAGTGGATTCCAGAGCGTTGACCAACAGGTGTGCAAGTCGTACTGCCACTACAGGGTGGCCCTGAATTCTACTTCTGTTAACTGCCTCTCACCTCCTTTTTCTCCCCCCACCCATTCTTATCCAGATTAGATTATAGTATTCATTACTAAAAATCACTCTCCAGTTCCACTTTTCACGTCCCCTCTGCATACCTTGTGTTCTCTAGTTGTACCAGATATTAAGTTTTTGTCTTTCAACTCCTAACACATCCTTCTACGTCCTGCTTTGAAATACTGGAGCTGTATTCCGGAGAAATTCCTCTAGGTCAGGTGTGCCCATAGAGAGGATTGGAGGATGACCACAAGGCTATAAGGAAAGGAAGAGACTTTCTTCTTTTTGGTGTTGTACTTACAACTTTGCCCAGAGTGCCTTGGGATGTAGGCATGCAGCCTCTCTCTGCAGTTGCCACCTTTGTGTGACGTTCTCTTTTACCATCTGGAGAAGCTAGCCATCTTTCATCTAGGTACTGTTGTTTATGTTCAATGTGCCCTGTCCTAGTTACCAGCCTGGTTCCTATCTTTGAATGAGTCACCTGGTTAACCTAAATGTGGGTTAAGCCAACACTGTCTTCTCTCCACCTCTTCAAAGCTAACGAGGCTGGATAAAATTGTTCAGTTCTGCCTGCCTCACCCTAAACCCATTATCATGGATGTCAAGCAACAACACCACACTTATGTACCACATTCACTCCCCCTTCTTCTAGACCACAATTCCACATCTTCTCATCTCTCCTCAACCCTCCAAGAACCCTCTCCTGGTCCTCACTCTGCACTGAACTGATCACCTTGCATCCTACACCACTGATAAGCAGATGTCCTCAGAGGAGAATGCCCACTTGCTTCACTGTCGTGTCTGTCAACTCAATTGTTTAGACCCGTTTACACTTTCCTCATTGGAATGAAAGAGCTGCAGCCTTCCCTATAAGATGAAGATCCACACTAAGCACTAGGTCTCACCTCTAAGGGCATCTCTAACAACTCTTCCCCTGATAGAACATAATTTCCTCTCTACTGGATTTTTTCCCATAAATAGAAGGCTTGTGTTAATATCTCACAGTAGAGACCCTCTCCAGTTCCCATAGTCTCCCTCAAGTCACTACTCATTCCTATACTCCTCTTTCTGTGCAAATTATTCTAAAAAGTGTTCATGTTAGGTCTTTACTTCTTCATCTTAACATCATCTCTTCAATTCACTCCAGTTTAATAAAACCACTAGATCAAGAGCACCTTGGTCTCAGCATTGTTGCTTGGTTTTCAGTTTCAAGTACAATCGACATAATCTGCCATTTCATCCTTCCTAAAACATTCTTCCCTTTATATTCAGAGAAACTATCTCTCTGCTTTCCCTCTATATCCCTGGGCACCCCTTTTCAATCTTTTTTGTTGGTCTCTCCTCATCTCCTTGACCTCTAAGTACTGAAGTGCAGTAAGCCTCAACTCTTCTAGATAGTTCAAGCAGATGTATGGCTTTAAATATCACCTATACACAGAACTCGACATCTATAATAATATTCTTGAACTTTAAATTCATATATTTATCTCTTTTTATGACCTGTTTACTTTACTTAGATGTCTAATCAACCCGACACTTGATTTTTCCAATCCTACTTTTCTTACAATCTTGCCATCTTAGTACCTGTCTCTACTCAGGTGCACCAGCCAAAAATCTTAGAGTTATCTTCTCTCATGGCCAAATCTAACCCATCAGCAAATTCCTCTTCTTAGCTTTCAAAATATTTCAAACTCCAGCTCCTTCTCAATATTTTTACTACAAAATGATCTGATCATCGTCTTGATCATCACAGTAACCTCTTAGCAGGTCTCCCTAATTCTATCCCACCCCCCTACAACTCAGTCAGGAGGATTACAAGTTCAAGGAAAATTTCAGCAACTTAGTGAGATCCTGTCTCAAATTAAAAAAAAAAAACTAAAGGAATTAAGACTTACTTTTGTTCATGGATGAAAGGTTTTAGTCCATGGTTGACTGAAGACAGAAACATCATGGTAGAGTTCTTATCACCTCCCAATAATGCCATCAAATTATTAATGCATGAAGGGTTAATCCACT